CCAACGGCTTCTCCTCCGGCCCCTGCACTGTCAGATGTGACGTTCCTCAGCTCCATCCTCATAACCCCTTCAAAATAATAGCAATAATAATAACAACAATTCCGTGGCTCCAACCCCCGCGGCTGTCCCCGGGGCGCGATCGGGCTATGTGTGGGGGGGTTCGGCCCCCGGGACCCCCACACGCGCACAGTCACTACACTCGACGGCAGGTGTCCCTACTCATTGAGACCCTCCCCTGCAACTCCTTCCCCTCACGCAGCAACACCACCCCCCCCCCCCCCCCAGATGACACCATCTCCATCATGGCAATGACGTGGCTATCATCATCTCCAGGTCTCTATCGGCCTATCCCCTTACTCCTCTGCTTTCCGCTCCTTCAAACACCTTGCGCCATATCACCCCTTTAACTTGCATAAATTCTCAGCATTAACCTCCCCCCCCAAACCTGCTAACATGTTCCTTTCTGATGTCTTCTCCCCTCTATCTTTCCTCAGCCTCTTCTTTCAATGGCTCCTCATCTTAGGCGACTTCAACCTTCACTTGACCCCTGCCTGACCATCTCCGCCGACTTCCTCTCCCTTCACCCTCCCTCTTTCTCCACAGTATCCCCCCACCACCCACATCCATGGCCACACCTGAGGCCTTTCCATCTCAGATGTCACCATCAGTGACAAAGCCATCAACTCCCAGAACTCCTCCATCCTCCTTTCTGTCAACAAACCCACCACCATCTCTATCTGCTCCTGTAAGAAAAAGATGCCCCACTCTTGGCAAAACAGTCATCTCCATCTCCTCAAATCTCAAAAACATGCTGGTGAACACATGTGACCAGCACTGACAGCATCACCATCCATGGATGCACACTCCACCTCACTGATCCAGTCTGGAACCTTGTCATCTTATTTGACCCTCAACCATCCTTTCTACCCCACATTTGTGCCATGACCTGTTCTGCCTTCCCCCACTTCCGCAACATCACCCGGCTCTGCCACTGTACCTCCCACCAGATTTCTGAAATGCTCACCCACGCTTTCATTACATCTAGGCTCGACTATGCCAACTCCCTGCTTGCCAACTTCCCAACTCTTCCCTGCACTAAGCTTCCGGAGCCAATCATCCCCCACCCTCGCCCAGCTTCACGGCTCCCCCACAGGATTGAGTTCAAGATTCTTGTCCTCACCTTTAAAGCCCCCATATTCTTGCTCCTCCCTATCTCTGCAAAACTTGGTCAGAGATGGCCTTATCTGTGATGGGTAGTGACGAGGTTGAGAGACTGGCCACGGTTGTGGGGTGGGGGAGTTCAAGTGGAGGGTGAGGTTTAGAGAGGAGTGGAGGGCAGCAAAATCAGAGCTAATGGAGCAGGAGCAGTTGTTTTTTTTTGAAGGGGGTAAAATCCTTAAAAAAAAATGGTCACTCAATCCACAACTATTTGTGGGACACTGCTGTGCGCAATTGGCTGCCATGTTTTCGTCCACAAAATATAGTCAATTCACTTTGCAGTATATTCTGTGGAGCGCTTTGAGATGTCTCAATGAGGTGATAAGGCGCTATATTAACTACGAGGATTATTATTTGATTATGATGAACCTTTCCATACCAGTTCCTGTGCTGCCTACAGTGCTGAGACTGCCCTAGTCAAAGTACCAGTGCTCCAGGACCACGTGCCACCTCCCATAAAAGGCGCTATATAAATGCAAGTTGTTCTTCTTACCAATGACATTTGGTCTGTGGTGTGTGCTGCGCTGAAGCCAGACTGGAGACACTCGAGTACAGAGTGGAGGGCGAGGCGTAAAGAAATTTGATTTGCAACAACGCATTCCAGAGCTTTAGCAACAAACGGCAAGTTAGGAAGGGCCGGGGTAGTTTGTCAGGTTTAATGGGATCGAGGGTGGGTGTTTTGAGTGATGAGAGCGGTCTTGAGGGGAAGTGGGACAGAGCCTGAGGAGCGGGACTTGTTGACTGGGTTATTCATATAGTGTCCCTCACGTAGGGTAGTATCCCCAAGCGCTTGACAGTGGTGAAGTCTGACCCCAGGTCAGGGGGCGGTGACCATAAGCACAATCAGAAAGGAAGGTCTTTAAGTGGGACGTGAAAATGGGAGGGAGGGGGCAAGGCAGAGGATTGAGGGAGAGCGTTCCAGAGTTTTGGGGCGTAGTGGCTGAAGGCACCTCCACCGTTGGTGGAACAGAGGGGACGAGGGACAAACAGGAAGCCGGAGCCAGCCGAGCGGAGGCAGCGGGTGGTGGAGTGGGGGGTAAACCAGGTCGGTTAATTTGGGAGGTGTGAGGGCATGAAGGGATTTGAAAACAAGTGAGAGGATCTGAAGTCGATACTTTCAGTGATTGGGAGCAGGTGGAGCCTGGCAAGGGCTGGTGTGATGGGGGTGCAGAGTTTTGTGCGGGTGAGTATCTGGGCGGCAGAGTTTTGAGTTAATTGAATTTTGCGTATGGTGGAGTTGGGGAGACCAGTGAGGAGGGCATTGGAACATCAGGGGGCAGAGGAGGGGCAGCTGAGTGACCAGAAGCTGGGTGGGGAGGGTGTCGAGGTAGTAGGTGGTGGGCTTCATATGGGTGATGATGGTTGAGAGGGAAGAGGGAGAGATGGGGCAACAGAGTGTAAGGTGGGGGCAGAAAGGGCAGGGAAATGGGACTGAAGGGATTGCCTTGAGGGAACGACACAGATTCAATGGTCTGAATGACCACCTGTGCCGTAAATTCCTATGCTTCTCTCGCTCTCTGTCTCTCTCTTTCCCTGCCTCTCTCTGTCCCCCTGACACACATTCTCTCTCTGTCACTTTCTTGCTCTCTGACAGCAATTAGAATGTCTCCGCCTACCTGACTCGATTGGGAAATATCGAGTGTGCGAGGTGGAGCTAGACAGGGTCTGAACCTGAATCACAGTCCCAGACAACAGAGAGTGCCAGAACAGGCGACAGAGCCGCAGAGAGAGGACAGAGCCGCAGAGAGAGGACAGAGCCGCAGAGAGAGGACAGAGCCGCAGAGAGAGGAGAGCGTGACAAAGAGAGGAGAGGGCGACAGAGACAGGAGAGAAAGAGGGGCAAGAGGGGAAAGAGTGAGACAGAGGACAGAGAGGGACAGAGAAGAGTGTGATAGAGAGGGGTGAAAGGGGGGAAAGAGGAGACAGAGGGAAGTCAGATTCACAGTCTCTTATTCTCTGGGAGATCCAGAGAAACTCCGACCAGACTGAATGGCTTCCCACTGTTCGTGTTCCCATCCCTCCCGGAGTGTCAGCCCCAGTGACCGGCAGCCTCACATCCCGAGTGAGCTTTGTGTGTTGTTCGGTGGGACTCTGAGCAGCGCCTCGTGGGATGCCACCAGATCCCGACACCAGGGCTCCGTGGGCAGGACAAGGCCAACGCTGGTGGAGATCACCATGGACTTTATGAAGAGATCAAAGCTTCACGGCATCAAATATATTTTCACCCGTCGGGCAACCACACACCGTCGCATGCTGTGGGTCTTGACATTCCTGGTGTCAGTCTGCCTCTTCCTGATATGGTCCTTGAATCGGGTCAATTACCTTCTGTCCCATCCCATGTTGACCAAGGTGCATATGATGTGGCCACAGATACTGACCTACCCCGCAGTCACTCTGTGTAACCAGAACTTCCTACGTCATAACAAGATGACCAGTAAAGATCGTGAATCCCTGGGGCGGTGGCTGGACCTGTCCCCTGCTCCGCGGCCAGCTTCCCGAAGGCGACGGCTAAGCTCACACCAATACTTCCCACCCACCGACCAAGAGGTCAACACCACCGAGCTGGTGGACAGGCTGAGCCATCAGATACAGGATATGCTCCTGGCTTGTAGGTTCCAGGGACAAATCTGTGCAGCCCACAACTTCACCTCTGTGAGTCCGTCTTCCTCTCCCCTCCCCTTCTCCCCTCCTCTCCTTCCGCCTCCTCTTCCCTCCTCTCCCCTCCTCTCCTATGGTGTTGACACATAGTGTATCCATGTGTGAGTCTACAGTGAATGCTGGCAGGTTCACAGCCCCAATCCTGTGATTCTCCCATTTACACCCAGCATCTAGTGAGGTTGCACTATTAGCAGCTCCAGCTGCTGGCTCCGTCCTTCACAGGTCCTCAACATCCTGACCCGGATCGGAAATCTCATCCCAGGATCTGTGCCTGGGTCACAGACATTTCCCAGAATAGTGCAGGGCAATCAATGCTGCTGCTCTCACCTCAGACATACTTCACCTTACTGCAAACAAACTTACCCTGAGCGGGATTGGAGATATTGGGCTGGTTGTTGAGGCTTTGCAGTAGTGACTGAATGTTAGGTAGAGCAATGTCAGCCTGGCGCAGTGGTAGGGCTCTCGCCTCTGAAAGTTATGGGTTCAAATACCATGTCGGGACTTGGAAATACACAGTCTAAGATGATATTCCAATGCAGTGCGGGGGAGTGTTGCAATGTCAGAGGTGCCGTCCTTTGGATGAGACATTAGACCGAGGTCCTGTCTGCCTGTTCAGCTGGATGTTGAAGATCCCATGGCATTATTCGAAAAGAGAAGGGTGTTTGTCTCTCTCAGTGTCCTGGCCAAAAATCCCTCAGATAAAATTGGTCACTCAATCCACGAATGTTTGCTGCTGTGCACCATTGGCTGTCGCATTTCAGGCACAAAATACACAGTCAGTGTATCCTGTGAGGTGCTTTGAGACATCTTCACAACGAGATAAGGCATTCTATCAAATGCAAGGATTATTATTATTATTATTACGATGCTTGTCAGTGCTTGTCATATATGTGGTTTGGGGTGCAATGAGTTGGATGGTGAGTGGTTTCTGTAGATGTACTAGTGAGGGTTGGGTTGAGTTTCAGTGCTTTGGGACATTCTCCCGATGTGAAAGGTGCTCTATAAATTTATTTTTGTTGTTGTTGTATAAACTGAACTTTTCTTTCTGCCTCAGCAAAGTAATCGCATATTCTGTTGATATCCCACACCCTTAATCTTCTCTTGTTCATTCCTCATCTCCACAGATTTTTACACGTAACGGGAAATGCTACACATTCAACTCAGGACTGGATGGGAACCCACTGCTCACCACTCTGAAGGGTGGCACTGGGAATGGCCTGGAAATAATGCTGGACATCCAACAGGACGAGTACCTCCCAGTGTGGGATAAAACTGGTAACAATAACACAATTACATGTGTATAGAACCTTTCATGTCGGGAGGATGTCCCAAGGCGCTGGACAATCAATATTTCATACTCGAGCTGGGGGTCGGGATTGGGAAGGTTGGAGGGTAGGGGGGAAGGAGGGTGATTGAAGGCACGGTCAAAGAGATGGGCCTTGAAGGAAACAAGGGAGGGGGCGAGGCGGAGGGACTGCGGAATAGAGTTCCAGCGGTTGGGGGCAGAGAGCTGAAGACCCACAGCCAATGGTGGGGCGGGCGAGGAAGGGAACGTGAAGCAGGCCAGAGCTTGCTGAGCGGAGGCAGTGGTCAGGTTAGTAGGGGTTTAGGAGATTGCGGAGGTAGGGGGGAGCAAGACCATGGAGGGCTTTGAAGGTGAGGACCAGGATCTTGAACTGTATCCTCTGTGTGATGGGAAGCCAGTGGAGTTGGGCGAGGATGGGGGTGATAGGGTCACGGAGCCCGGTGCGGGAGAGAACACGGGCTGCAGATCTCTGTCCCCGCTGGAGCCAATGCTATCGGGGCCAATCCCATACAACCAATCTCAAAGGGAAAATCCCCAAAAACTAATCCCGGGCAACAACAAATAAGACTCTATATCAAATGCAAGGATTCAAGAGCCAATCCCAGACAAATGCCAAAGAGCTAATCCCACAAAACTAATCCCAAAACAATTCCCAGAGTCAATCCCAGCCAATTCACAAATAATGTCCCACAACAATGTTGACTTATGACGTCCTCCCAACATGAAAGGCGCTAAACAAATGTAATTTTGCATTCTATTAACCTGAATTTTAACCTGGGGATTGTTGGAGAAGAGAAACTCCCTTCTCTTTTTCAAACCGTGGCATGGGATCTTTACCTCAACAAACCTCACCTGCCATCATCCCAATCCTCACCTACCTCGCTGGCTCTGAACAGATAGCCTTCAAGATCCTCTCCCTCACTGGCAAATCCCTTCAAGCCACAGCACTCCCCTACCTCCTCATGTGTACCCTTGTGCTCCAGGACACTACCTGATTGAAGGGCGTGGTATAAATGCACAATCATAGAATCATACAGCACAGAAAGAGGCCATTCGGCCCATTGCGTCTGTGCCATCTCCTAAAAGAGCAATCCAACTCAATCCCACTGGCCCGCTTTCTCTCCACAGCCCAGCAATCCTGTCCTCCCCAAATGCCCATCTACTTCTCTCTTAAAAGTTGTTATTGAATCGGCATCCACTACCCTTTCAGGTAATGCATTCCAGATCCCAACACCAACAACAAAATTAGCCTTATAGAGCGTATTTCACGTTGGGAGGATATCCCAAGGCGCTGGACAGTCAGGGGTCAGGACCTGAGCATGGGGGAGGGATGGAGTAGGGGTGAGGGAAGGCAGAGAGGTGGGAGCGAACAACTTGCTGGGTGAAATTTTTTTTCCTAACCTCCCCTCTGTTTCTTTTAACAACTATCTTAAATCGGTGTCCTCGGGTTACTGACCCACATACCAGTGGAAACAGTTTTTCCCCATTCAACCTGTCAAATCCTCTCATGATCTTGAAAATCTCTATTAAATCTCCTCTTAATCTTCTCTGCTCGAGGGAGAATAATCCTAGTTTTGCTAACCTCTCCTCATAACTAAGGTCCTTCATTCCTGGTACCATCCTGGTAAACCTCCTTTGCACCCTCTCCAATGCCCAAACATCTTTCCTAAAGTGCGGTGCCCAGAACTGAACAGAGAGTCTCCAACTGAGGCCTAACAGCATTTTATAAATATTCAACATAACCTCCTGACTTGTGTATTCTATGCCCCTATTTATAAAGCCTCGTATCCCGTATGCTTTTTTAACAGCTTTATCTACCTGTCCGGCCACCTTCAGAGATTTGCTTATGTGGACCCCCAGGTCTCTGTTCATTTGTCCCCTTTAAGATTGTCCCAAAGCTTATACCGCGTCTCCTCATTCTTCCTACCAAAATGCAACACTTTGCATTTCTCCACATTAATCTCATCTTCCACGTTTCTGCCCATTTTACCAATCTGTCTAAGTCCTCTTGGAGTCTGGTGCTATCCTCCTCACCATTAACTACTTTTCCTGGCTTCATGTCATCTCCAAATTTGGAAATTGTGCTCCTTATATCCAGGTCCAGATCATTAATATAGATCAGAAAGAGCAGTGGTCCAATACTGACCCCTGAGGGACTCCATTACACACCTCCCTCCAGTCAGAAAAGCAACTGTTTACTACCACTCTCTGCTTTCTGTCTCCCAGCCAGTTCTGGATCCATGTTGCCACAGTCCCTTTAATACCGTGGGCTTCTATTTTGTTTATAAGTCTCTTATGTGGCACTTTGTGAAATGCCTTTACAAAATCCAGATAAAATACGTCTACTGCACTACCTTCATCCACCCTCTCAGTCACTTCATCAAAAATTCTATTAGGTTAGTCAGACACGATCTGCCTTTAACAAATCCGTGTTGACTGTTCTTTATTAAACCATATTTTCCTAAGTGAGAATTTATATTGTCCCGGATTATAGTCTCCAGAAGTTTCCCTCCTACTGATGTTAGGCTGATTGGCTGTAGTTCTCAGGTTTATCCTTCTGCCCGTTTTTGTACAGAGGAGTAACATTTGCAACCTTCCAGTCCTCTGGCACCACTCCAGTGTCCAAAGAGGATTGAAAGATTGTGGCCAGAGCCTCCGCTGTTTCCACCCTTGTTTCCCTCAGTAACCTCGGATGCTTCCCGTCCGGACCGGGTGCCTTATCTACGTTGAGCACCGACAGCCTTTTTAGTACCTCCTCTCTGTTGATTTTTATCATATCCAATTTCTGTTCACACGCCTATGATATTGTGGCATTGGTTGCATTGTCTTCTTTTGTAAAGACAGTTGCAAAGTACTTACTTCGTACATCAGCCATGTCCTCTGCCTCAACAAGATTTCAACTTGGGTCCCTAATTGGACCCACACTACCTTTGACTAACCTTTTGCTCTTGATATGCTTATAAAATACTTTAGGGTTCCCTTTTATGTTTCCTGCTAATCTTTTCTCGTACAATCTCTTCGCCTTCCTTTTTTCCTTTTCACTTCTCCTCTGTATTTCCTATATTCTATTTAATTATCCTGTGTGTTTTGGACCTGACATTTGTCATAAGCCTCCTTTTTCTGTGTTATTTGAATCCCAATTTCCTTGGTCATCCAGAGAGGTTTGGCTGCTCTACCTTTCCCCTTTGTGGGAATGTATTTGCTCTGTCCTGAACTATCTCCTCCTTGAAGGCTTCCCATTGATCGGTTGCTGTCTTACCTGCCACTCTCTCTTTCCAATCTATCTTGGCCACGTCCCTTTTTAGCTCACTGAAATTATCCTGCTTCCAGTTGAGGGTCTTTCCCTTTGATTGATTGTTGTCCTTTTCCATAACTATTCTAAACCTAATGATACTGCGATCACTGTTATCCAGATGCTCTCCTCCTGAAACCTGCTCCACTTGCCCCACTTCATTTCCCAGAACTAAATCCAGCACCGCTTCCTTCCTCATTGGGCTGGAAACACGCTGATCCAGAAGGTTCTCCTGCAGACATTTCAGGGATTCCTCCCCTTCCTTGCCCTTTACACTGTGCGTTTCCTCGTCTATGTGAGGATAATTGAAATCCCCCATTATCACTACTCTATTGGTTTTGCATCTCTCCAAAATCTGCTTACAGATTTGGTCATCTATCTGCTTCCCACTATTCGGAGGTCTGCGGTAAATACCTAACAGAGTAACATTTTACGACATGCAGAGGAAATGCATGTTGTTGTTGTTGTTTTACGGCAGTGCACACTGTGAGTACATTATTACCTGTTTATGTTCCCAGAAGAGACATCCTTTGAAGCTGGGATTAAAGTGCAGATTCACAGCCAGGATGAGCCTCCCATCATTGACCAGCTGGGGTTTGGCATCGCCCCCGGCTTCCAAACCTTTGTCTCCTGTCAGCAGCAGCGGGTAAGGTCCCTCTCTCCCTGCTTCCACCACAGTAACCACAGGAATTGGTGCTGTGCAATCATTCAACATGCTCTCCATCTCACCTTCTCCATCTCACACTCTCCATCTTACCCTCTCTCCATCTCACTGTCTCTCCATCTCACCCTCTCTCATCTCACATTCTCTCCATCTGATTCTCCCTCCATCTCACCCTCTCTTAATCTCACATTATCTCTCCATCTCACTCTCTCTCCTCACTTTCTCTCCATCTCACCCTCTCTCATCTCACTCTCTCTCGCTTTCACTCTCTTTCTCCATCTCATTCCCTTTCTCCCCATCTCACCCTCTCTCCATCTGATTCTCTCTCCATCTAACTCTCTCTCCATCTCACCCTCTCCCCATCTCATGCTCTCTCTCCATCTCACGCTCTCTCTCCATCTCACGCTCTCTCTCCATCTCATGCTGTCTCCATCTCATGCTCTCTCTCTCCATCTCACTGTCTTCATTTCACTCTCTCTTCATCTCACTCACTCTCCATCTCACTCTGCCTCTCTCCACCTCACAACCGCTCCATCTCATTCTTTCTCCATCTCACTTTCTTTCCATCTCACCCTCTCTCTCTCCATCGCTCACCCTCTCTCTCCATCGCTCACCCTCTCTCTCCATCTCACTCTCTCCATCTCACTCTCTCCATCCATTCTCTCTCTCTATCTCATTCTCCCTCCATTTCACCTCTCTCTCCATTTCACACTCTCTCAATCTTCTTCTGTCTCCATTTCACACACCCTCCATCTCACGCTTTGTGTGTATATTACAGTCCATGTACCTCTCCTCTCCCGAGGGTGAGAGTGTCACTGTGTGAACCTCCCTCTCTCTCTCTGTTACAGCTCATGTATCTCCCCTCTCCGTGGGGTGACTGCAAATCCACCCCCATCGATTCGGAGTTCTTCTCCACATACAGTCTCACTGCGTGTAGGATCGACTGTGAGACACGCTACCTGGTGAAGAACTGCAACTGCCGCATGGTGCACATGCCAGGTACACGCGCAAACATGGAAATACAGTTACTTGGGATTATTGAGAGCACTGGAAAAATGAAAAAGAAAGATTGTGGAAAATGGGACCTAGAAATGATCAGGAGGAACACAGAGCACAACAGGCTGATTGGACACGTCCCTTTCACATCCCGACTCCCACTTTCACAGCCACACCACCATCAAAAAAAACCTCAAAAGTGGACAAAGTCTCCAAACATGCTCCCTTTGCACAGAGGAGTCACATCTGAATTATCCCCTTTCTGAGTGTGAGTCCTTGACCCCAATTGTAAATGGACCAAGAGATCAGAGTCATGTAGCTACACTCTTGATCTTCCAAATGTCTGACTCCATGGACCATTGGTATGAAGTCAACCCAGTGGAAGGCTCCAGTCTGTCCTGAGCCAGGCTGCACCTCAATACTCCAAGACACAGCTGATGATAGACCGGGCGACCTTGCTTATTGGCATCACTTGGAGGGCCAGACCAGAGGGCAGGGAGTCTTCCCCCGCAGCTCCCATTCACCCTGCAAACCAAACCCCTAACTAGTCAGGTGGTGCTCGCTAGACAAGTGGCAGGAAGTTTGCCGGACAGTAGTCTCAATGGCAAGCTATACCGTTTCACATGGTTAAACTCTGTGAGGAGGGGCTGTGAGGAGAGCATGGGGCTGTGAGGTGGGGGAGGGGCTGTGAGACGTGGGAGGGGCTGTGAGGTGGGGGAGGGGCTGTGAGACGTGGGAGGGGCTGTGAGGTGGGGGAGGGGCTGTGAGACGTGGGAGGGGCTGTGAGGTGGGGGAGGGCTGTGAGAAGTGGGAGGGGCTGTGAGGTGGGGGATGGGCTGTGAGGTGGGGGAGGGGCTGTGAGGTGGGGGAGGGGCTGTGAGAAGTGGGAGGGGCTGTGAGGTGGGGGGGGCTGTTAGAAGTGGGAGGGGCTGTGAGGTGGGGGGGGGCTGTGAGAAGTGGGAGGGGCTGTGAGGTGGGGGAGGGGCTGTGAGAAGTGGGAGGGGCTGTGAAGTGGGGGAGGGGCTGCAAGGAGGGGGAGGAGCTGTGAGGTGGGGGAGGGGCTGTGAGGTGGGGGCGGGGCTGTGAGGTGGGGTGGGGCTCTGAGGGGGGTGGGGCTGTGAGGGGGAGGGGCTGTGAGGGGGGAGGGGCTGTGAGGGGGAGGGGCTGTGAGGCTGATTGACACTCCCTGTGTGTGTTGTAGGCAATGCGAAGGTGTGTACCCCGGAGCAGTATAAGTCATGTGCGGATCCTGCATTGGGTGAGTGACCGGTTCAGCTTCACCAGAGCACAGGGTTGGGGGGATATCACAGTGGATACACGCGTGTCCCTGTAACACGTGCTCACATGTGTCTGCAGCACACAATTGGACAACTTGTATCTCTGTAGGACACCCCATGACCCATGGGTGGTCCCAAAATGTAGAGAACATGCGTATTTTTGTCGGAGACATATAGATCCCCATATGGTAGGAGCTACATGTCTCTGTACACAGTACCGTGTCCTGTATACTGTGTGTACACGCCATGACCTGTACAGTGTGTACACCTGTGAACTGTACAGTGTGTATAAATCCCTGGTCTGGACCCACACAGTTCTATAGAGACACAGAGAGCGAGAGATAGAGACAGGTGTAGCGAGAGGGTGAGATTGGCACAGACCGAGGATGAGGGACAGAGAGAGAATGAGAAAAGCACAAATACATCAATAGAGGACGAGAGAGAGAGAGAGAGAGAGAAAGGGGAAGAGATATAGAGTAAGGATGAGAGTGAAGGATACATAGGTAGAGAAGACGAGAGGACAATACATCTCGTATCTTTTTCTCTGTTATTCTCTATTTCACTCTCTAGCAGTGTGTGTGTCTCTCTCTCTCTCTCTCTCTCTCAACCGCTCTGTGCCTCTTACGCTCTCCAGCTCTCTCTCACTCGCTCTCTCCCTCATGGAATTTCCATGTGTAGGTGGGATGCATGGAATTCTCAGTTTGGTTTGGAGATTCCTACGCACGGTGACGGGTTTCCGCATGTGTCAAAGAAAGCAAAACAAAAAAATCTCTCATTCTCTCTTTTTGTGTGTGTCTCTCATCCTCTCTGTCTCTCATCATGTTTCTCTCTCCTCTCTTCCTCACTCTCTCTCATGCTCTCTCACTTGTCCTCTGCGTTCCTCATTGACAGATTTCCTCGTGAGTCGGGATAGTGACTACTGCTTCTGTCAGACGCCATGTAACATGACCCGATATGGAAAGGAGCTTTCTATGGTGAAAATACCCAGTAAAGCCTCGGCCAAATTTCTTGCCAAAAAGTACAACAGAACAGAGAAGTACATAGCGTGAGTATTCCTGACAGTGAGTGTGTGTGTGTGTGTGAATGTCGTCACACCATGCTCACACTGAATGTGAGTGGAATCACGCTGTGGGGCGCTCACGCTCTGTTGTGCACACTGAGTGAACGAATGAGCGTATTCCCACTGTGTTGTGCTCACACTGTGTTCTGCTCACAGGGAGAATGTGCTGGTTTTGGACATTTTCTTCGAGGCTCTGAACTACGAAACAATTGAACAGAAGAAAGCGTATGAAGTAGCGGGATTACTGGGTGAGTGTCAGCACATACCCCTCTCTCAGTGTCTCTCTCCCTCCCTCTCGCTATTTCCCACCTCTGTGCCCCACTCTCTATTTACCCCCTGAGCCCCACTCTCTATTTACCCCCTGTGCCCCACTCTCCATTTACCCCGTGTGACGCACTTGCTGTTTACCCCCTGTGACCTCTTTCTGACTCTCTCTCCAGGTGACATCGGGGGTCAGATGGGCCTGTTTATCGGGGCCAGTATCTTAACCATTTTAGAAATCTTTGATTACTTGTACGAGGTAAGACATCAACCTTTGCTCAACAAAACCTCAGCGGGTGGGGGGGTGCTCAGGCGTGGGGAGAGGGCCCAGCGGGGTGTGCCAGGAGGGCGTGGGTTGCACCCACACAACAAAACTTGCACCGTGTTTTAACAACAACAGAACATGACATTTATACAGCACTTTTGATGTCGGGAGGATGTCCCGAGCCGTTAGACAGTCAGCGATTTGGATCTGAGCTGGGGATTGGGATCAGGAGGGGTGGAGGGCAGGGAGGGTGGGGGTAGGAGGGTGACCGAAGGCGTGATTGAAGACGAGGGTCCTGAGACGGGCCTTGAAGGAGGCGAGGGAAGGAGCGAGATGAAGGGACTGTGGGACCGAGTTCCAAATGGTGGTGGGCAGAGAAGCTGAAGGCCCGACTGCCGATGGTGGGATAGGCCAGGCAAGGGACGTAGAGTAGGCCAGAGTGGAGGGAACGGACAGGTCGATATGGTGCTAGGAGGTCACTAAGGTAGGGAGGAGCAAGGCTATTTAACAACAAGGAGTGAGGTCTGTTTACAGACATCCCCCATCTCTCCCTCGCACAAAGCTATACACTGGTCCTCAGTCATTAACCTGTGACTGGTGTCCAATTAGCACTTCGGGCTGGAACTTGAACAGCCCTGGTTGGAGGCCAGCCCTGGTTGGAGGCCAGCCCTGGTTGGAGGCCAGCCCTGGTTGGAGGCCAGCCCTGGTTGGAGGCCAGCCCTGGTTGGCTGCCTTCATTGAGGCACTTTTTGTAAACAAGTCAGAAAACAACAACAACAACATGCTCCTTCACACATAAGTGGAGCCAATGAACACAGACATAAACCATAGATAGGGAGCACCACCATTGGTGGCTGCACTTTCAGCAACTACGCGGCAAAACTCTGGAACACTCTTCCTCTATCCCTCCACCTTGCCCGATAAATCCAAGGATCCTTGAGGAACTAAAGGAGGAAGTCGCAGAAACGCTGGCACAAATCTTTCAAAAATCACTGAATACTGGAGAGGTGCCGGGACTGGAGAACGGCAGATGGTATTCTATTTTTAAGAAAGGTAACAAGCGTGACCCAGGAAACTAGACCAGTAGGTTTGACGTCCGTTGTGGGTAAAATTATGGAGACTCTTATTAAGGATAAAATCATGGAGCATCTGAACAATGATAGCCAATATAGGTTCATGAAGGGGAGATCTTGCCAATCTAAATTATTTTCTTTGACGGTGTGACAAGGGAGTTTGTTAAGGGTAAGGCTGTGGTTGTTGTATATCTGGATGTCAATAAGGCCTTTGATACAGTTCGTCTTGAGAGGTTGGTACTGAAAGTAAAGAAAGTAGGAATCAGATGGTACAGGGAATGTCATCAGACTGGGAAAATGTTACCAGTGGAGTTCCACAAGGGTCTCTTTTGGGACCTCTTTTGTTTAATATTTTTGTAAGTGATCTGGAACTCGGGGTCACAAGCACAGTGGCCAAGTTTGCAGATGACACCGAGCTAATGAAGGTGGAAGACTGCGAAGCTGAACCAGAGAGGTTACAGGAGGATTTGAACACAGTTGGGAATTGGGCAGATCGGTGGCAGATGAAATTCAATGTGGAGAAATGTAAAGTACTTCACATGGGAACAAAACATCCTGGAAGGGATTATTATTTGAATGGAAGGAAAATAATATGTTTGGAAAATGAAAAGGACCTGGAGGTCCTGATTGACAATACATTGAAGCTCTCCCAACAATGCTCTGTGGCAGTGAGCAAAGCAAACCGGATGCTGGGATGTATCAAAACATCAATGGGGCAATCCTTCCACTGTATAGATCATTGGTGAGACAACACTTACAGTGCTGTGTACAGTTCTGGTTACCGCATAACGATGTGGGAGAAATCGAGAAGATACAGAGGACAACCAAAATAATGCGGTAATGAGGGACTGGACTGTGAGGAGCGACTCAGTAAATTGTGTATGTTCACACTGAAAGGGAGAAGATTGAGAGGTGACACGATTGCTGTCTTTAAGATTCTAAAGCAGCAAAACAATATAGATCACGACAGGCTGACAACTTGTCCAGAATAGTGAAACCAGAGGCCACGGCCTGCGATTGAAGAGGGTAAATGCAGAACAAGTCTATGCAAATACTATTTCAGTGAGTGAATAGTGACCCTGTGGACCAGGCTCCCGGGGAAACGGTTGAAGCAGGAAACGTTGATTCTTTCAAACACAGATTAGATTTGGGGAGGCGGGGGTGTGAGCTGGGGGGGGGAGTGTGAGCTGGGGGGGGTGGGGGGGAGTGTGAGTGAACTGAGAGGGTGAATGTGAGTTGGGGTGTGAGCCGAGGTGAGGAAAGGAAGTGCAGAGGGAGAATGGTACATTGACAAGAACAATTCCATGCCTTAAAATTCATACGATTTATTTTGAATCAAGAGTAATTTTACATCAGGTAAAGATGGATACAGTCCAGGTTTGATTGTCCTAGATATGTCTTTACACGAGTAAACAGTAAATATATAGATACAGTTTATATATATATATGTATATACCCCCTTCGCTGGTTCTCAGGTCATGTGGAAATGACAGGCAGCATGCGCCAGTAGGGGGCGGGGAGGGTTACACTCGTCTGACACACACACCAGGACCACACGTCTGACGCACTCACACACACGGCTCTGACACGGAGACTCTGGGAATCACACAGCTGGAATATTCCAAAATCCCACTGGGCACTGAGCAGAATTGGTCAGGGAGCGGCTGACTATGGGAGGCCGGCAATGGGGAAGTTGGCAGTGTGGAGAAGGCAGTGGGGAGATTGGCAATAGGGAGGTTGGCAGTGGGAGGTTGGCAGTTGGGGAGGTTGGCAGTGGGGAGGTTGGCAGTAGGGAGGTTGGCAGTGGGAGGGTGGCAGTGGGAGGTTGGCAGTGGGAGGTTGGCAGGGGAGAGGTTGGCAGTTGGGGGGGGTTGGGGAAGGGGGAGGTTGGCAGTAGGGAGGTTGGCAGTGGGGAGGTTGGCAGTGGGGAGGTTGGCGATGGAGAGACTGGTGACAGGAGTTGAGAAGCCAATATCTGGTGTCTAATCTCTCAGATTGTGATGTCAAATTCTCCTGATAATGACAATCATTTCCAGTGTTTTACAGATAATGTCTTCCCCAAATGGGATCAGGTGAGTGTCCCAGTGTCTACACTGCGAGGCTGCAGGCAGAGAGAGATGCGGCTGACATTTGGGGGGCAGTGTGGGAAGTGTCGGGGGGGGGGCAACGAGGAGTGTTGTGGGGCAGTGGGGATGTTTAGGGGAGTAGTGGGAAGTGTTGGGGGGGAGTGTTGGGAGCAGTGGGGATGTTTAGGGGGCAGTGGGGATATTTAGGGGGCAGTGGGGCGTGTTGGGGGATAGTGGGGAGTATTGGGGGGCGGTTGGGAGTGTCAGGAGTAGTGAGGATGTTTAGGGGGTCAGTAGGGAGTGTCAGGGGGCAGTGGAGATGTTGAGGGGCAGTGGGGGATGTTTTGTGGTGTAGTGGGTATGTCGGGGTGCAGTGTGGAGTGTCGTTGAGCAGTGGGGAGTGTCGGGGGGCAGTGGGGATGTTTAGGGGTCAGTGGGGAGTTTCGGGCAGCAGTGAGGAGTGTCAGGGGCAGTGGGAGTATTGGTTGCAGTGGCAATGTTTAGGGGGCAGTGGGGAGTGTCGGGGGAGTGGGGAGTGTGGGGGTAGTGGGGAGTGTCGGGGGAGTGGGAAGTGTCGGGGGCAGTTGGGAGTGTTGGGCAGCAGTGAGGAGTGTCGGGGGCAGTGGTGAGTATTGGGGAGCAGTGGTGAGTATTGGGGAGCAGTGGGGAGTGTCAGGGGTCAGTGGGGAGTGTTGAGGGTCAGTGGGGAGTGTTGGAGGGCAGAGGGGATGTTTAGGGGTGCAGTGGAGACGAGGCAGGCTCCACTGTCTGAGCTGACCTCTCGCCAATCCCCTGGTCAGAGGTTAGTTATTTGCTATAACCTACGGCTGTCTGTGGAAAGTGTGTCCCACACGGGGGCATCAACAGGCAAACTCCTCGAAGGTTCCCAGTGTCGGGTGTCGTGGCAACATGTTGGGTGTGAATCCCACACTGTCGGAGTGACTGTGCAGTGTATCACAGGTGCTCTGAAAGACAAGTAGAGCCAAGTTATTATTATTATAATATATTCACTGAGGCCGTGCAGAGGAGAAGAATTACAACAACAACTTGCATTTGTATAGCGCTGTTCACGTTGGGGTAGCATCTGGAGCACTTGACTATGGCGGAGCATGATGCCGAGCCAAGGGGAGAGGGGCAATGGGGAGGTGACCGTAAGCACGATCAAAAAGGAAAGTCTTAAGGCAGGATTTGAAGGTGGGGAGGGCGGGGGGATTGAGAGGGAGAGAGTTCCAAAGTTTTGGGGTGTAGTGGCTGAAGGCACGGCCCCCGATGGTGGAGCGGAGGGGACAAGGTACAATCAGGAGGCCGGAGCCAGCCGAGCGGAGGCAGCGGGTGGTGGAGTGGGGGTAGGGAGGTCAGATAGGTAGGGAGGTAACAGGCCATGATTAGAGAAGCTCGGACTGTTCGGTCTTGAGAGAAGAGGGGACCTCATAAAGATGTAGAAAATTTTAAATGGAATTGAAAATTCAAACCCAGATCAATTCTTTGTGACGTATCATCATAATAATAATCATTGCATTTGATACAGCGCCTTATCACATCTTCGAGACGTCTCAAAACTCTTCACAGAATATACTGTAAAGTGAATTGACTGTGTATTTTTGTGGGCGCAACATGGCAGGATTCTCGAGTCCCGTAGCGTGATGGGTTAGAGCATTCGCCTCGCAAGCAAGAGGGCCTGGGTTCGATTCGCGGGCAGAGAGAAACCTTAGGCAAGTTTCCTTACTCCTGTTTACCCAACAGTACGTAGGAACCCAACATTTTTTAAAACATTAATTTGGTGACTCAATCCACGACTGTTTGTGGGACGCTGCTGTGTGCAATTGGCTGCCGCGTTTCGCCCACAAAATGTACAGTACGTATATTCTGTGAAGCGCTTTGAGAGATGTCTTGAAGACGTGATAAGGCGCTGTATCAAAATGCAAGGAATATTATTATTATTATTATAGCAGTAAGTAGGAACCCACTTGTTAGTCAATTGGCAGATCAATTGGGATCATAATCCCTCAAAAAAAATTGGTCACTAAATCCACAACTCTTTGTGGGACACTGCTGTGCGCAATATGCTGCCGTGTGCCGCCCACAAATACACAGTCTTTAAAGTATGATCTGTGAAGCGCTTTGAGAGTTTCAACGACGTGATAAGGTGCTGTAACAAATGCAAGAATTATTATTATTATTAAGAGGACACAGGTTGAGTTGTAAAGGGCAACTTTAGGACAGACACCAGGAAATGTTTCTTTACCCAGAGGATTATCAATGACTGGAACAGAGTTGCCAGGAAGAGTGGATGAGGCCAGGACATTGGGACTCATTTAAAAAGCAGCTTGAAGCTGTGATGGGGGGTAGGTTGGGTGTTCTAGAGGGATGAGATTTCATGGGCTGAAGGGCCTTCTTCATCCAGACCAATCTTCAAAACCCATTGAAAACTCTTGGAGCATCAAGGTATTTAAGAGAAAACTTGATGCATGTATGAGGGAGAAGGAATGGAAAGGTACTGGAGAGGGTAATGAGTAGGGTGGATGCTCGTGTGGAATACAAACACTGCCATGGACTGGTTGGGTTGATTGACCTGTTATCATGCTGTACCCACTCTGCAGCTCTAAATCGGCAACCCCAGATCTCCCAATTCCTTGACACAATTCGGAACTTTCCATTAAGGAACACTTCCTTTCCCCAAATTTACCATTTCAGATTTCTCAAGATTGAACTACATTTGCCACCCACTTGCCCACTCTTCTAAGCTAAGTCCTCATGCAATTTACGACATTCTTCCTGATATCCTCCTCACATGAAAGGAGCGATAAATGATTGAGGGGATGGAGGGACTGGACTACGAGGAGCGATTAGATAAACTAGGCCTGGAGAAGAGAAGGTTGAGGGGTGATATAATTTTTTCTGTCTCATATACCATACATAAGGATACTTTGTGCGTTGCAGAAGTTGTGATATGTGTGCCTCCCAGGCCCAAGTTTTGAAGGAATTCATATGCAATGACTGCAAGCTGGTAGATGCCATTCAAGGCTGAAGTGGTCAGCCTTAGTGAACGACTGACCACGCATCGGGAGTATTAGGGAGAAGTCTTTATAAATTACATATTAGAGAAGACATTGCTAGGGGGCAGAGTAGGAGAGGAGTCCCCGGTACGCAGAGGAGGGGATTGGGTCTCTGATAGAAAAGGGGCCAGAAGCCATGGTCGGCTAATAGAGCAGGAGTGGGCATCCCTGTGCTCTCCAACAATTTCTCTCCTCTGGAGAGAGATGATATGGAAACCCAAGTGATGGCTGAGGCAGGCAAGGGAGTGCCGTCCACCGAGGCAATCCAGCAGCCTGTCAGGGAAGGAGGGAAGAAGAGAAAGAATAGCAGACAAGTTGTGATATTAGGGGATTCAACTATTCGGTTCACAGATCACATTCTGTGTAAACCAGACCCAGAATATAGAATGGTAAGTTGCCTACCGGGTGCACGGGTTGAGGATCTGACGTTCCAGGTTGGCCAAATGCTACAGGGAGCAGGTGAGGAACCAATTGTAGTTGTTCATGTGGGAAGAAATAACACAGATAGAAGTAGACCAGAGGTTCTCCATGCTAACTTTAGAGCATTAGGAATGAAGCTTAAGGGAAAGACTTCAAGTGTAGTATTTTCTGAAACACTACCTGTACCATGTGCTAGTGAGGTAAGACAGAGGGTAATTAGACAGACCAATGCGTGGCTCAGGCATTGGTGTAGGGAGTCAGGCTTTCGTTTCCTCAAACATTGGGGCACCTGTTGGAATAGACTGGATGGGCTCCAGCTAAACAAAAGGGGGATGGAGGTGTTGGCAGGCAGGATAGATAGTTTAGTTAGGGAATATTTAAACTAGGCACAGGGGTGGTTGTGGTTGGTGTAAGGGAGCACCCGAACCGATTAGGGAAAACCTTAAGGGGAACCCAGTGTAACTTGTCTAATTCCAAAAGTTGGAGAAAAAGAAACAAAAAATGCTTATCAAGTAAATGGGAAAGGCAAAAAAACAATGGAGTTGTGCTTGTATTAATGCAAGAAGTCTGACAAACATGATGCATAATCTGGAAGGTCTTGTAGGGGGTGACAGAGTGGACATCATTAGCATCACACAGAAGCATGGTGGAAGGTTATAAACGGTTTAGGAGGGACCGTATCAGGAGAAGAGGAGGTGGTGTGGCACTATATATAAGCTCCATTATTGAGATACAAGTGAGAGAGGATATAAAAAAGGAAACGGCAGAAACAGAATCATTTTGGGTACAATTAAAAGATGACAACAGAGATGAGCTATTACTGGGGGTCTGCTATAGAACCTCAAGCCAGGGTGAAAGCCTTAGTTTGGAACTGTGGGATGAGACAAGGAAGGCCACTAGTGAGGGAGCAACTATAATAGTTGGAGATTTTAACTTACCGGAGATTGACTGGGATAATAATCTAAATTTAGAGCATAAGGAAGGAAGCTTAAGGGAAATACTAGTTAGATATTTGAACTTACCAGAGATTGACTGGGATAATAATGTGTATAGTGATAAAATGCAAGGATTATTATTATTATTATTACAGTTCTGGTCGCCGCAGTACAAAAAGAATATTGGACAAATCGAGAAGATACAGATGAGGGCAACCAAAATGATTGAGGGAATGGAGGGACTGGACTGTGAGGAGCGACTCAGTAAATTGTGTATGTTCACACTGGAAAAGAAAAGATTGAGAGGTGACATGATTGCTGTTTACAAGAATCTAAAGGGACTAGACAATTAGACGGTTGAAGCAGGAAATGTTGATTCTTTCAAACACAGATTAGATAGTTTTCTTTTAGGAAATAATATTATGGGATACAGTACATAGGGAGTTCAGGACATAAGTGCATGCGACCACCAAGAAGGTGGAAGGCGAACTAGAGGGACCTTGGTGTTTTTTTCATCTAGCATTTCTTATGGTCTTATCTCTACATCTCTATATACACATATCTACACTCTATATATACACATCGCTATACTCTTTATATACATCTCTACACACTATATACATATACACATCTCTACACACTATATATACATCTCTACACACTATATGTATATATATATACACATCTGTACACTCTATATATACATCTCTACACTCTATATATATATATATAATCTCTATACTCTACATATACAGCTCTACACTCTATATATACATATCTACACTATATATATACATCTCTACACTATATATACACACATCTCTCTACACTCTCTCTCTATATATATGTACACATCTCTACACTCTATATATTCCATGTATCCCACCTAAGGAAGTGATGGAGAGGGAGAGGTGGAGAGAGGAATAGAGGGGGAGAGGAGAGATGGAGAGGAAGAGATGGGGAGAAGAGAAGGGGAGGAGAGATGGAGAAGGAGAGATGGGGAGGAGAGAGGGAAAGATGGAGAGGAGAAAGTGTTACCAGGTTGTCGCTGTGGCTCCTCTTCGGTCTATTCTTGCGTAACATGTTGCCCAATATTTTGTCCTTAAAGACCTGCACAACAGACAAGCAATAATATAATAAAAGGTGATACAGACACACTCCACATCCCACCCCACACTGTCCCTATCCCCACCCACACTGTCCCTACCCCCACCCATACTGTCCCTATCCCCACCCACAATCCTTATCCCCACCCACACTGTCCTTATCCCCACCCACACTATCGTTATCCCCACCCACACCGTCCCTAGCCCCACCCACGTTGTCCCTACCCCCACCTGAACTTGTTTCCAACAACAACTTGTATTTACATAGCGCCTGTCATACAGGGTAGCGTCTATGAAGCGCTTGGCCGTGGTGGAGCTCGATGCTAAGGGCAGGTAACCATAGGCACAGTTGAAAAGGAAGGTCTTCAGGCAGACCTGAAGATGGGGAAGGAGG